CCCAGAGGGCGAGCGGCGCTCCGAGGAAGAGGGCGCCGGTGGTAGCGCCCGCCCCGCGGAAGCCACGGCCGGGGGGCGCCCGGCGGAGGAGGCGCAGCCCCCGGAGACGGCGGAGCGGGACGCCGCCGGACTCAGCGACAGCGAGATGTCGGCCGCCGTGTCAGGTAGGGGCGGCCCCGTTGCGGCCCCTCCGCACCCGCGTGGGGAGGGCGGGAGGGTCCCAGAGGACCGAGAGAGGGAGGTGGTCGTGGCTTTTCGCCGGCCCCGCGGGGATTGTGCGACGGGCTCGGGATGTACCGGGGGGGAAAATGCCCCTGAAATGCGTCCCGCGGGGGGAGGGAGGGCGGATCGGGGAGGGTCCTTGACCAGGTTGAACCCGCAGCCAGACAGGGCTCCCGGCGTTTAAAGGAGACCGAGGAGCCCCGGCTGCCCGCGGGGGCTGTCCCGGCGTCGGGGCGGGCAGCGGCTCGGTGGGCTCCCCACTCGCCTGGTCGCTGCGGACCGGCCGCAGGGAGCGCGCCTGGCCGCGGGTGCGGGCCCCGAGAGGAGCGGGGATGCGGCTGTCCCGGTGCCTGCTTGCCCTCATCGCCGTGCTCTCGCCCTGCCCGCAGATCGCAGCCCCCCGGACGAGGAGGACGGAGCGGGCAAGTGCGGGAATTTGATGCCGGGAGAGGAGGAGGCGGCAGCGCCGAAGCCGCGGAAGAAGCGCTCCCGCGCAGCCTTTTCCCACGCGCAGGTCTTCGAGCTGGAGCGGCGCTTCAACCACCAGCGCTACTTGTCGGGGCCCGAGAGGGCCGACCTGGCCGCCTCACTAAAGCTCACCGAGACGCAGGTGAAGATCTGGTTTCAGAACCGGCGCTACAAGACCAAGCGGCGGCAGATGGCCGCCGACCTGCTGGCAGCCGCCCCCACCGCCAAGAAGGTGGCCGTCAAGGTGCTGGTGCGCGACGACCAGAGACAGTACCACCCCGGCGAGGTGCTGCGGCCGCCCTCGCTGCTCTCCCTCCAGCCGTCCTACTACTACCCCTACTACTGCCTGCCCGGGTGGGCTCTGTCCACCTGTGCTGCAGCCGCTGGCACACAGTGAGGGGCACACATACATATCCCGCTGCCCCCGACCCCCCTCCCATGCACACTGGCAGCCAGGAAACCCATCTCCCCTCTGCCACCCCCCCATCCATCAATCCATCCATTCAGCTTCTCAAATCCAGATCCCCAGCTGCAGCTCTCAGTGCCTCGGACAGTATTTATTATTATTTTATTGTTATTTTTATTATTAATATTTTTGGATGGTTCCTCACCCTCTCCTCTTTCAACATAGGACTTCTCGTCCAACCCCAACCCGACCCACACCCCATCCCCACCCCGCCAGCTGAGGACTCTCATGGTTCGGCACACTTGTTCATGGTATCCATGTTGTCAGTGTATTTGGTGTAGACTTCTTGTTTGTTTGTTTTATTTCGCTTCGGATTGGTAGAGACTCGATTTGTGTGAAGAGATAGAAAGAGAGAAAAAAAGAAGAGGAAAAAAAAGTACGACCTGCAAAACCAAATGCAGCTCAAAAGAGGAGATCAAGGACTCCGTTCGTGGATTGTAAGGAAGATTATTTTTGTCGTCTGAGTCCTTGGTCTTCCAACTCGTTGCAAACTGAGTGTGCCTTGTATGGTGCTGAATGTAAGGAAGCTTCTTTCAGATCCCCCCTGCTCTTGTTGCCCATGTTATTCCTGTACTCCATGATCCCTGGCAAAGGATAAATATGTCACAGAAGGGTGAGACTTATACTGAAACTCCTGACTTCTTCTTTTCCTTTTTTTCCTGAGATCTTTCCATGTTTGGGGAGGGAGGAGTTACGGATTTTTCGCACTTTCCAGATGTATTAAAGTTGTTACTATTATTATTATTTTTATATTCAATGTGAATATTTCTAGTCAGGCTTTTTAAGAAATCGATGTAATGGGGAACTTTAATACCATCAGTGCCTTTTATAGTTCTTCTGCAGACCTTTCCTTCAGGGATGGGAATTTCTGATCTGCCCAGCAATATAATTACAGTCTATTTTTTCAAGGTAACTCGTTGCTTTTTTATCCCTTCTTCTTTTTCCCCTCTCCATTTCTCTTTCAATGGCACTGTGCACTCAACTAGATTATTTACTTCAAATGAATTGTGAATGTTTGTAAGCTACCCTCTGTACTTGGTTTCTTTTTTAATTTATAAACTTTAGTTTAACACGTAGTCTGCTGCTTGTGTCGTTTCTGAGAGCAGACACGGATTTCCCCAGCGATTATTTTTCCCCACAGCAGACTTCAGACTATATCTCAGATCACATCCCTCCTTTTCCCACTCGCACAGAGGCAGGCTCTGGTTGGGACTGGCAGCTCCAGTGGTGGGGATCGTGGGGCCTGGCAGAGTTCTCTCCCACTGCACCCCTGGACCATGCCCAGCTTCACCTTGCAGAGCCGGTGCCAGTTCCCTCTGGGAGGCAGAGGGGTCGCAGAGGTTCGGGCTGAGTGCTTTAAGCACTTCTTTGGTGACGCCTGTCCTGGATGGAGCAATCGCTCTTCTGCCGGGGAGCTGGGATCACTGGCTGAATTTACGGCTGCCAGTTGTAGTGAGGATGCAGTGAGGTCCAAGGAGCCACGGGGGACATTGAACAGTTTTTCCTGGTCGAGGGTGGCCTTACCGTGCGGGCTGCTGCCTCGCTTCCCCGGGCCGTACCGGGGCCGTTCCTGGGGAAAGTGCGTGGTCGGCAGATCGTTTTCTCTCCTCTGGGGCCTGGCGGGGAGGCCGGGGCCGCGAGCCGCGGGTGGGCGCCGGAGGTTTAGGATGGGGCTGCAGGAGGGGGCTTCGTAGTCCTCGACGAAACCGCCGAGGCCGTCTGTATCCCGACACAACCGCGATAGCCGCTTGGGGCAGCGTCCCGCCCTGGATTGAATCCCCTCCAAGACTCCGCTGCGAGCCCGGGCCCTCGGGGCCGTGCTGGCGGCTCATCCCCGCCGCCGGCTGCCGGTCTTGGGCGTCCCCGGCAGGGCCAGCGCTGCCCCAAGGGGAGGGCAGCCTCCGGTGGGGTGGGCAGCTCCCCTCGGGGGACCGGGGCTGGGCAGTGGCGCTCAGAGGGACCGGCTGCGGTGGTTTCCCTACGCCGATGGAGCCCTGCCCGGACCTCGCTCAGAGGCCGCCGCGTTCCCTGGGCGCTGCCGATTCTTCACCACCGCCGGCTTCTTTCCTTCCCCGCTGGGTCGCATGGGCTTCCCTCGGGCTGTTGAGCACGGAGTGGTTTGCAGGAAGCCTCTGCTGCCCCATCGATCCCCAGCCGCCGTCCTTGCAATCCGCCCAGGAGGCAGCCGGGCTGTTTCCCAGTCAGCCCCTCACCTCGGCCCTTCCCTGTCCCGTCATTTCGCTTTCCCCAGGCTCGGGCACCCTGCAGACGCCCGGGCTGGCATCCCGGCGGCACTCGGCTCCCTGTGGGCTTCCCCAGCCCAGCACGGGCTTCGGGCGAGCCCACTTCTCCCAAAGCCGACACTGGGGGGAATGTCATGCCACTGGGGGGAATGCTTTGGATTTGGTTTTGCTACGCCGGGCGTGTCGGCGGTCCTGCTGGCGAAAGGAGCGCTCCAGATGTAGCGGTCCTGTGCTCTACAGCGAAGACCTTGGCGGAAGTGGGAAGACTGACATTTATTTGGCCCGATCCTGAAGCTCTTGTCCCTTTTTTCTTCCTTCTTTTTTTTTTTTTTTTGGTAACTATTTCCTTCCACCGGTCCCACTACTTTCCTTCCTGGGAAAACGAAATTTTTGGGTGGCAGAATCAGGACCCCCCTGCACTCGGGGAGGTGAAGAGGAGTCTCTGCTACCCCTTAATTTGTTTTTTTTTCTGGCGCCTGGGGACGTTTTTCTGCCGGTAGCCCTGTACAAGACACCGAGCTGACTCCCATTTGATGGGACACTAGCGGAGGTTCTGACCCCGGCGGGGGTGGCTTTCAGCGAAGCTGGTTTTAGTTCCTATCGGGCTCCCTGTTCGAGGGAGAGAACTATTTCTAAACCTTTTCTTTCTTTCTTTTTTTTTTTTTTTGTACATCACCGTGTTATATTATTTTGATTCGTGCTTGCTGATGGGTGTAGTGCTCTAGGGAACCTCTTGATATGTCAGGGAAGCAATGGTTATTAGAGCTTTCTCAGGTTGTAATGCTGGGTAATACACAGAATAAAGCATCAAACTATTTTTCTTTGAATCACGTAAAACTAAGATGCATTTTACTCAAGACAGAAGTTGCTGAGAAAGATAGTCCGATTGAAGTTACCTTGAATTTTAGGATTGTGTTTAATATCGAATATTTACGCATAGACAGTGTCTTCGTTTGACATTGACAAAATCCGATATTTGAGAAATGTCAGTATTTTATATAGGGAAAATTTAATCGATATTTTTACCGGAATTTGGGGGCATTTCTATTCCTGTTTTTCTTTATAATTTTGAGTTTTGAAATATAGAGCAAACGCTCTGCATCTTTTTGTCTTTTCTTAATGACAAAATCCCCAGTAAAGTGCACATAACTGTACCAAGGCCAAAGGAATTACTCTGGATTTTCGGCATTTCGGCAAAACCTAGGCTCTCCACACACTCCCTAAACACACATTCATCTCAACAGCACATCCACTGCTGCAAGGTGAAATAATCTCCCTAACGATATATCCCAATTTCGGCCTCTCTCCCAAACCTCGAATCTGTACGGGAGCCGTGGGAATCATTTTCCATCCGACCATGAACAAGTTCTAGTCTTAAAGAAAACACTCGCAAGGGCAAGAGGGAGAGAGGGAAAATACCACAGCTACAAGAAATTCGATTGTTGAAATATAATGTAAATTGTGTATATCTTTGCATATGTCTCCACTGGCGCTTGTGTTTGTGTATTAAACACTCGCATAGGCGCAGAGTCCAACTCGGCAGTCGGGAGGCTGCCTATATTTAGATACCTCCCGCTCGCTCGCAGGGTAATAAAACAGGAAACCACGTAGATTTTCTCTCCCCCACGCTCACACACACTCACACACACAGCCTACTACACAGGTAGAAAGCGACACTTCCCCAGGAGAAGGAGAAGCGGCAGAAGATGCCGGAGCACAGGCAGCCCCCTCTGGCAGCGCAGCACCTGCCCAGCCTCCCAGGGGCTCCCGGCAGCAGGGGCCAAAGGTGGGCCGAGGTTAAGGGCCTCTCCCCGGCAGGCTTTGGCAGGCTTTCTTTGCGCTCTGCTTCTCCTGTCAGAGGGACGGCGACGCGCCCCGAAGGTCGGGGGCACGGGGAATCCCGACCGCCCTCCCAGTGGCTCTCTCGAGTCTGCAGCACCAACCCGCCGGAGCAAGCCGCTCCGCTGGGAGGACTCCGAAGCCCAAGGACAGGGGTGCTCCTGTCCGCAGACAGTCGGGAGTGCTGGGAGACCTGCTGGAGCAGGGCTGATTCGGGCGGCCGGAAAGCCGGACCCCCGAGGCCTGCGGAGATCCAGGGCATTGCCAATGGTGGCTCCATCGAGCAGCCTGGCTTGTCCCGAGGTGATGGGAAAAATAAGCGGCAAATCTTTCTGCCCCGACCACATAATCGGGGATGTTACCGGTCCCAACCTGTCCGAAAGCCGCGTGAAAGTGGATTCTTTTGCGTTGTCCGCTGCTGCAGCGAACACCATGATTGACCGGGAAGCAAGGTGTACCGGGGAGCAAAGGAATGGTTTCCCAGTCGAGTGTCACGGCGGTCTCCGCCGGAACCCGCATTCCTCCGGGACGGGCGGTGCTCCCTCCTCCGGGGGCGAACAGAGACGCCAGTGGGCTAAGGAGGCTCTGTGCGGAGGCCTCCGGCACCGCGGGGGCTGCCGCCTGCGGGACCCCCGCACCGCCCCGCGCCCGGGCAGCCGCACTGACCCGCACCGGGGCGGCTCCGCACGGCGGGCCCGTGCCTTACCGAGGGACCGCGGGAGCAGGCGGACTCCTACCCGCAAGGGGGGCTTGTCCTTTTCCTAGAACATGTTCAATATTCGTGGTGTGATTTTTTTTTTTTTTTTGTTTGGTTTGGGGTTTGTTGTGGGTTTTTTATTTATTTATTTATTTTTGATTTTGTGGGGTTTTTTAAGGGAGGGAGAGAATTTCGATGATCCGCACGCAGTCTGGAGGTAAGGTGCTGAGCGAGTGGGCGACTTCACTC